CACCCTCAATGAAGCAGCCAATAAAGTCAGAGAAAAGAGGATCAACACGACAATACTCTTCTTCGACTTTGAGAAAGCCTACGACCAGGTCAATTGGGCCTTTCTCAATGCAAGTATGGAAAAGATGGGAGTAGGGCCGAATTAAAAAAAATGGGTACAAATCCTGTACGACGATGCTATTGGCTGTGTGCAAGTTAACGGCCTGCTCTCAGATTGCTACCCAATTTCACGGTCAGTTGGCCAAGGGGATCCACTAGCACCTCCAATTTTCCTGTTCGTTATAAAAGCAATAGCATCCTTCCTGCGCAAAGATTCGTCCATACACAGACTACCGGAGATTTAACGCAGGTTCAACCCACCATATACATTTCCCAACAGTCATAATGTTCACTGACGATCTCACTGTCCTCATACGGGCCTCATGATCATCCCTCAGTGCCCTAATAAAAGCTATGGAAGCATCCAGACTAGCATCAGAAATGAAGATCAACTGGAAGAAAACGATCGAATGGTGGTTATCTGAAGATGAGGCCCCTCTTCTCCAAGGCCCAGAGGCAGCCATGACATGGGATACACCTGATACGCCTACCCGGTACCTTGGCATCCTCTTGACGAAAGAAGGTTGCCTTCCTCAAATGGCCCAGAACATGCTTGCCAAACAGATCAACAAGATGGGTAGGTGGGGCAATACATTCACCTTCCTGCTGGGTCGCGCCTTGGCCATCAATGATGTGGTATATAACATCTATATGGACAATCCCTGATCACTCAATAAAGGACCTTAACCGCAAAGCTAGAGCTTACCTGTGGTCAGGAGACCCCAACAAGGAAAATTATATACCGAAAATAGCATGGCACTACATTACAAGGAAACCCGCTGAAGGCGGTCTTGGTATTATAAATCCCAAACAAGAAACAAAAGCTCTACAAATAAAGTGGATTGTCAAACTCCTCACCAAATCGGGAACAGCATGGAACAATCTGGCACTAGACAGTATAAGAGGGCTGGCTCCGGTAACGACACCAGCAAACATGTCGGGCCTATTTTGGGTAATGAACAAAGAATGGATCCCAAAAACAGGCCGCAGAAACCAATAAAGAAGGGGAACCCCCACCGTAACCAACCCCCCCACACCCTACTGGACTGCACTTCTAAGGATTTGGTGGGAATTCATGCCGAAGAAAGTCGGGAAACCAAAGACCAGAGAAGAAGTACTGAGGCAACCTCTATTTGGCAATCCGTGGGTGAGAGACGAAAGTGATCACCCGCTTTTGCTTAAACCCAATGGCACAGGTTGGATATCATGGATAAAACACGAGATCTGGAAAGTCTCTCACATATGGGAGGAAGACAAGAAGGGGTGGCTCACTGATCAGGAACTCGCCACCCATCTCAAGGGATGCCACCGGCATGAAGAGAACCTGCAAACAATCATCAGATGCATCCCAGAGGGATGGAAAGAAAGATTAACAGAGGCACCGACTTGGAAAACGGGGGAATGGGGGGTCAAGATACAAGAACAGTCCCCTTTGAAGGCCTACCAATTTTCCCACAAGCAGCAGGGCTCGCAAACCTTGGCTGTCTTCACAGCCTTTCCAGTCACTCGGACAGCACACAACTCCGTGTCCATTCTGAACAAGGATGTAGAAGGAGTGGTTCTCGATCTGTTCCTTTTCAGGAAAGTAAGAGTCATCGGTTCATGGCCCAAAACAATTTTCAATATAGACACAGCAATCCAGGACCTGGAATTCGACCCGGGGGAATGGGCCTGGACACCAGGAAGGAAAATTGTCAAGACGGATACCCACATACAGGACTACTCAGTCAAACTGGGCTATAGGCTATTCCTCAGAACCAAGGACCCGGACCCCATAATCAAGAACAGATGGTCTAAACTAACGGGTCAGGACGTCAGCCACATCCCACAAATCCCATGGAAAAATTTTAATTCAATCAGACCAGTAAAAATTAGGAGCCTCCAATGGCTAATTGCATACGTGGCCTTACCGGTTAATCAATGGCTGCACATCCGGAGACATAAGAATGATCCCAACAGCTCAGATGTATATTCAGTATGGACGGATAATGAACCAGAAGACATGCTCCACTGTCTGATACGTTGCAGAGAAGCAACAGAATACTGGGCAAGGGCATCGGCCCTCTGGGACTCTCTATTCTCGTCTCCCCTCCCCGAACATCCCTTCCAACTTCTCCTTTGGACTAACATCCCTACCCAGTACAACAACCCAGAGAGGATCTGGTTCGGAATGATCAGAAAGGCGACACTATGGACCATCTGGCAGGACCATTGAGGGTGTGTCGAACTCGAGGGAAAAAGTCTGGGCGGAAACTAAGGATTTGATTCAGGCAGAGATTTTATCCAAGTGGCACAAGGCAAGACTTTCCCTACCAGACGGGGACGAGCAACAGCGCGCAACACAGTTAAAGTTCACCAAAACCTGGCTGATTGAAGGAAAACTCGCAGAGACAAAGAACTCTTATCTACGATGGAAGGAATGGCACAGCTCGTGAGGGGATAGGAGAGGACCAAGATACCTCACGACCAATGGAGTAGTCCCGACACAGACAACAATGTCCTATGCTGAGCAACATGGGTATCAGGCATRAATTGGGAGAGGAAAGAGCYYTAGATCTGYGACTGGAGGCAGTTCCTACCACTTTCTCTTGCTTTGAATAGGTCTATTTGACAGGCCCAAGAAGGGAACCTGAGAGGAGCAAGTTGTTAGGGCAAGCTGACAGTCAATCCTCCCCCAAGGGAGCAATCAATGCTGGTCAGGGGTCCTTCAGCCAGATGGAAGGAAGCGTGAGTGTGTTTTTTTCTCATATTGTATTCTCATATTGTATTCATTCTAGACTTGCCCATAAGGACCTGTTTTGTTTATAAAAAAAAAAAGAAGGGTTTGGCAAATAATTTGAAATAAAGCATTTATGGGACGGCAATGCCAAGGAACGGCAAGCCGATAGAGCCAATCTCAAGGGGCGTCAACACACCGATAAAGAAACTTACAAGAAGTTATCGGGGCCATACCACAAGAGTGGGTAGCAATCATTGGAAAAAAACAGGGGCTGGTCGGTCAGCGACTGAGGAGTGATGTCGTATCCATATCCCCAAGAGCATGCACTGGCCTACTGGGGACTAGAGGATGGAAGAAAAAGATGGCTTAGACTGTATGCATGAGATAGAAGAACCAAAGACAAATTACAGCAAAAAAGGGGGAAAAAAAAACAGAAGCACAGGTAACAGTTAGATGGGATCTCCTTAGAAACATGAGAGTAGTAGAAAATGATGAGCTAACGACCTTCCTATCCCAGATGGCACTTGACGACTTAGAGGTAGACCCGACAGAACGGGCCTGGAATTTAAAAATAAGGACTATTGGGAATCAGCCAGAGACACAACATTGTAACACCACACAACAAGGCTAGGCTGCAGCTTGAGAAGGAGATCGGCTGCACCGGACCAAGTCATACCACAATGCTGGTGTAATATTTAGATGTTGACACAGGCATCCTTTTTGGAGGAAGGTCGTAGGTTCGATTCCTAGTGGGTTGATCTTGGGACTTCTTGTATATTTGCAAGCACGCAGAGCTGGTCAGACGCCCTTGCCATGGCTTGGTTGAGGTCTGACCGGTGGCTGAAAGGCACATGGGTTGAGTAGAGTCTGGGTGCACTGGGTCATGGATATACTCCATGCTGGGTGGGGTTAAATGTCCCTAAATGGGCTTCACTTTCTTTCATCCCAGCTCATACTCGATGCTGGGGTGGGGTGAAATACCCCTCAAGGGGCTTCACTTTCATCCCAGCTCACTTTCCTATTGGTTAGATCCACCTCTCTGGTGGGAGGTCGTAGGGTTTGATTCCTAGTGGGTTGATCTTGGGACTTCGTGTATGTTCGCAAACAGGCATCCTCATCCCTGGAACCAAGTAGCAAGACTTCACCAACCCAAATTCTGGAGTTTGCAGTGGTTAATCCTATACCTCATGGTACCAACCAACTCATGGATGAGTGTAAGGCACAGGGAGGAGGATAAAAGCCCGCTAAACGAGCTTTGCTCCACCTGTACAGAGGGCCAAATAGAAAATGTGTACCACTGTTTCCTGCTATGTCCCAGCATGTCCCATTTGGGAAAAGGTAGCCAGGATATGGGAAAAGAGAGTGGTGCCAAAGTTCTCAGTCAGCCCTACGGTACTTTCACTGGGCTTCCCTGTTCCAAAATACTAGCCAGATCTTGAGACAGACTCTTTCATACACTCAGAAAGGCTGCCCCTATGGATCATCTAGAAGAAGTGATGCCCAGAGAAAAAATGCAGGTACGAGAGGCATGGGTGGTCTCCCAGCAGCAGTCAGAAACGGAATTCTACATTCTGTGGTGATGGTTAAGGAAAAGCGGAATGATGATGCGGATAGAGCTAACAAGTATCAGCATATTGTTGAGGACTACCTTGAAGACGGTACATTGCAGAAATTAAAGAACAGAACTTGGCTTTCCCCTTTTGAGAAGAAAGCGTACAAGTAAGTCTAACCCATTTTTTAACACACTTCCAACAAACAGTATACGGGAATCCTTCCACATCGACATGAGTCAGCCTGAGAGCAAAAGAGACACAGAACTTCAACGCAAAATACAGGACATCAACAATCTTCACAGACATTCGCTAGGAGGAGGTCCACAGTAAGGGTTGACTGGTTGTTCCTGCCTTCATACAGACATTCCTGACAGCTCATGGCTTGGGATAGAGAGGGATCACTCGCACTCTTTTCCAAAAGGGCTTACAACGAAAATAGTATTCATAGGAGAGGGCATCAGGCCCAGAAAGTTGAGTTTGGAAAACTGAACCAAGCAGGGGTGGAGCGGTGGTACATCCTTCCTAGCAAAAGAAGTTCACTCTGTCAAGAAAAAAAGGGGGGAGAGGGGAAAGGGGAAAGTGAGCTCTGCCAAGGCATAGCTAATGTATTAACTTGCGGAATCGTGTGATATCGTTATTTGATCTGCTTTGATACTTTCAGCCCTGTGAGTCATATGGATGGCTTGCAGCACCATGGGGACCTTGCGGGAAAGTTTGCACAAATGCCACAAGTTCACGGCTGGTTCAGGTAACTCTGTTCAAGCTCAATCATTCTGTCACAGAAAGAATTACTTTTTTGCCTTGAGAAGTTCAGAACAGAAATGAGTTGGGAACCTGCTTCGTGGCTCATTGTTACAAGGATGTAACTGGTCATCAACAGCTCAAGATTTCACACTCTCTTGTGTTGTTACACGCGTTAGAGTGTATTTAATGCAATTTTGGCATTACAATTCTAAGGGGCTATCGACTTAAAAGTTAAAAGAACAGAAACTCTTCTGTCCACCCCCCCCCCYCCCCCCCCCAAAAAAAAATAAAATAAAAAAAAACAGAGCCTTAAACCCTAAACCCTAAACCCTGCCTCCTTATCGATTCTGGGAGCGTCAGTATGGTTCCTATTCCACCAGCAAGTCAGAAAAAAAAAAAAAACATCATGTTGCATACTATGATGCTTCTCTCCATTATGCCTAAGAGACTCGAGTGGGTGGCACTGTGGCAGTGATTATTTCCAATAGGAAGGATGTACCTCACCTCACCCCTGCCTAAGTTAGTCTCCTAACATTTCCTCAGATTATCTAACCCGTTATCCTTCGCTGACCGGCGTGACGCTTGCTTCCCTCACGCCTCGAGCTTGTGTCCTTTAGCTGCTCCGCTCAGCTATTGCCTGCTGTCTAATATGTATGTGGCCCTAGAGCATTTTCGCTTCTGTCTCCTTGGAGTGGGGATCATCATACAATTGCCTGTTTCCCTCCTACTTTTCCTTGGTACTGCTTCCTTCTGTGCTATCTCAACCTGTGTTTCCTTTTTACAGCTTCCAGCCTTCCGCTCGATAAGCCCCTAAACCCTCTTTGAAATCTGTTTATCTTGTTGGTCTGAAATCCAAATTCTATTCCTAAAGTTTCCTACCCTTCCTTGATCTTCTTCCTGTCTTTAGACGAAAGGACCTGGTATATCTTGTGATTTTTTTAAAAATTATTATTATCATTATTACTATATTATTATTATTATTATTATTATTATTATTATTATTATTATTATTATTATTAATTTATTATTATTATTATTATTTTATTATTATTATTACATTATTATTATTTATTTATTTTTACCCATTTATTACTTAAAGGAAAAGAACGGGCCGGCCACCCCACATAAAGGCCGGGTCTGGGAGCATTACCCAGTGTTTTGCTTTTGACGGGACCTGATACCTGAAAACTACAGTCTCAAATCCTAAACGCTCTCTTTTTCTGCTCCCGGAGTCAATTATATCTTGTGATTTTTATTTATTTATGTTTTTGATTTTTTTTCCCTTTTTTTTTTTTTTTTTTTTTGCACAGGACCTGGTCCCACCAGGAGCTTTCCCCGGATCTCCCCTGACCAGGGCCACAATCCGATTTACGAGGATTCTGTGTCCCTGAGCGTTAATAATGTTGTGATCTACGGTATATCGTCTATATTAAAAAAAAATTTTTTTTATTTTTTTTTTTTTTTTTTTTTTTTTTTTTTTTTTTTTTTTTTTTTTTTTTTTTTTTTTTTTGTGTGTGTGTGTGTGTGTGTGAGTGTGTGTGTGTGTGTGTGTGTGTGTTCTATTCTCATCTGGGCATTTGTTTTTCTTTTTTTTTTTTTGAAAAAACAAAGCTCCGATCTATTCGTGGGGAGTAGCACATGCTGGGAACCGGGCCCAGCGTCCCTTATGATACGAGATAGAATTTTGCAACCTTCCCACATTGCGGCCCAGGGAACCTTCACAGCATGGATTGCTTCCTATAAGGAAGGGTTGACTGTCAGTTAAGCCGATATCTTGATGCAGACCCCTCCCTCTGTTGATGTACCCCCAAAAGAAACATGCTTAAGAAACAGCTCGCCGGTAGCCATCATTCTGCTACCTTACCCTACAACTACTAAAACCCTAAACCCTAGCTAGCCATTAGCTTGCAACCCCTGTCCTATTCGTTTACTGCTTGGACTTGTCTCCTCGCCTCTCTTAAATTAGCCTAGTCTGATAACCCTCTCAAGAGGTCCAACTACTGTCCTGCGTCCCAAGTGCTGCTAGCCTCCCTTCACTGTTGCTCTAATTGCCATTTGCTGCAGCTTTCCTCCTGTGGTTGGCTGTGCCCTTGAGTCGTCTTTGGCCACGACCTAAACCTGATAGTTCTTTGTATTATCACTGCCACTTTGCCGTTTCCCAGCTTGCCCTTTTCAAAATCCTGCTTTATCTCTGTCGCCTGGTCCAGCCGCTCACGCTTTTTCCTTTTGGTGCATTTCCATTGGGCTAGAATATCTGTTTCCAACAAGTTTTGAATTCCATTTCTGCACTTGGTTTTATCTCTTGTTATCTGACATTTTCTTTTCCATATGGTCCACATATTGGTGTTGCAATGAACCTCGCGATTTCAAACCAACTCGAGCATGCAAGATGAGAGCATTCACATGGAAGTTCACACCACACCCGAGAGAGAACACATGAATCAGCGCCAGATGTATTTCCACTCAAAAATATGATAAATTATTAAAAATTAATAAAAATACAATTGGAGGGTTCAAGTATCCAGCGGCCACAGCCGGAACTCAATGCTGCAATCTCAACACAGGTATGTGCTCGATTCCCCCTCCCTCGATGCCTGGCCTCTCTCTCTCTCTCTCTCTCTCTCTCTCTCTCTCTCTCTCTCTCTCTCTCTCTCTCTCTCTCTCTCTCTCTCTCTCTCTCTCT